ATTACTATATTATCGATTTTGGCAACAAAAATATATCTAGTACAGTTTTTTTTTTTTTTTTTTTTTTTTTTTTTTAAAAAAAAACACTTCGTCAATAATGACCCAAAACCAAAATACAAAAAAATTATTTTTTCTTATTTTGACAACTGTTCATGACCCAAAACCATAATAGTAGCGTAACATAAGCTCGGCATTTTCAAAGCAAAACATCGTTCCTAAATGTGCTTTCGATTTTTTTCCAAAACACTCTTACAGTAAAAACAGTATTTCTGCTTTATCTAAAAATAAAACGCCTAAAACAAGGCGCAACTGTTAGCTACAACATTAAACTAAGGCTCTGATTGGATAGATGAAAATCAATAATAAAAAATAAAAATAAAAAAGTGAAAAGGTATTATTGTAATTTCGTAAAACTCTCTCAATTTCTTTTACTTTCATCTAAGTCTTTAATTTTTTTTTTTTTATAAAGAAAAAGTTAGTTGATTATGAAAAGTAATTTTTCTTAAAAAAATTCTCTTGGTGCTAACAAAACTTTTAAAGTGTTCGCAAATTTTTTATTTTATTTTATTTTTTAACACGGTGTTGTTACAACGCTGGATGCCACTGCTAAAAGACTTGTTTGGCTAGCCAATTAAAAGAGAAAAGGGTGGTTTGGTTAAAGGATTGTTTGGGGCAAGCTTTTGGAGCCAATAAAGCTAGTTACGGCCTTTTAGGGCAAATTTTTCATTCCTTTGTTGACGTGGAACCCTACATGCCCAGCTGATGTCATGAAAGTAGAATCTTTATGGCTAATCCCACTTTTGTAAATATTTTACACTCTACGTGGTGAATTGACCTAACCAATCTACCTCATTCATTGTGTCCACAAATTTTGTGCTTTAGACAACAGGTTTTGTTAGTGTGTGTGTGTATATCAGAGTATATATATATATATATATATATATATATACATGATATAATTAGGTGGCATCACATCCTTCCCTTTATTCTTGTCCTCCTTATTCGATCATATGGAATAAATTAGGGCATAAATTTTCTCTATTGTTATCTGTTTTGTTTAATTATTGGATGAATAATTTTATATTATAATTGTGAGTATTAAATTGGTGCTTTGAAATTGATATTAAATTTTTTTTTGTTCCAATCTTAAATTAATTTTTTTTACCAAGATTTGTGCACGACTCGACGAATTATTCATCCTAAATTCACAAACTTAAAATTTTGAGTTTGTAAATTCAATTTTTCACTGGCTAATGTTTTTCTTTTTTGTCCAATGTGAGAGAAAAGTGGCAAAATTTATATAATTTGAAAAGTACTTGTAACTATTTGGTCGTGTTTTTTAATAAATGTTAATTAATAACAAAATAAAAGTTGCTACAAATTCTAAAAAAGTTATTCTATTCCAGTTTTAGTCAAATAATATATCACCACTATTAGAGTGTAAAGTAGCCAAACCTAGCTGGACTTGTGATTCGGCCTAGAATACAATCTTGTGGTCCTATAATCAATTAATTGAATCCACTTTACACGTGGGTTGTCCTGATTTGCACCACGTGTGTGCCATAGTCGTGAATCTGATGTGGTTCACATAACTAATGTCCACTTCTCAATTCAAGGATCTCTATTGGGTGATATAGATCTCATGGTGGCTCTCAAAACCTAAAAAACACAATTAAAAGTTTGTGCAGACAATGTCACAATACATTATTGAATTTCAATGGTGGAGAAAAGGTGATTTGATTCTCTGATTGAGGTTGTTTGCCATGGAGATGAAAATCATTATGCTTGATGCACCTTGAGGTAGGATTCTCTGCAATAACATTTAACCGTATTCTAGAGTGTTCGATACTTACACGTGTGTGTGTCACCATACGCGTGTGTGTGATGAGAGGATCATAGACTGTGTACTGCACCTGATTTCAACTCTAAGCATGTATTCCGTGACAAGTTGAGAATTCGAGTCCCAAGAGACAATGTTGTAGTTGTGTTGGCTTAAAATTTCGCAGAAAAAGTGTAATGAGTCATTATTTAATGGTTTGAGACATAATTCGACGTGTCAGCACTCTCGTAATAGACTTGCTCTATTGATTTTATGAGTATATTTACTATTGAGTTTTTCTGCAATACAATTCAACTAAATATGAGAGTGCTCTTTACTTATACGTGAACACAATCATACGTGTGTGATGAGGACCATTGAATGCAGTCCATCACTTATGTTGAATTGCATTTGATTCCAACTATAAACACTTGTCTCGTGACAGGTTGAGAATTTGATCTCCAAGAGACAATGTTGTAGATGTGTTTGCTTAAAATTTCACAAAAAAAGTGTCTATAAGTTAGTATTCAATGGGTCAAAATATAATTTCACGGGTATGCACTCTCGTAATAAATTTTTATGTGGAAATGATTTTTAACGTACCAATTAGCAATAAATTTCTTACTCATGCTCACCGATGACAAAATCATTTACGTAAAACTATGACTGTAAAATATTCATAAAGTGAAAGATAAATCTTACACTTGATAAAAAGAAAACATATTTGGTAATGTATGTCAGTAAGTTACACAAAAGAACACACTTATAGAGACTAGTTTCATGAAACATTAATTGACCAAACTGAGGAAGGTCACTTGTTAGGAAAAGATATCCAATATCAAAAGTATTACCTATATATACACAACTAATGTAACATCATCTTTAACGAAAAAAAAAAAAAAAAAAACTAATGTAACATCACACAGAAAAGTACTTTTTCATGTGGAAGGAGAATCTTTTTGGCAATTGACATTAAGATAAAGAGCCTATCCACGAAAAAGTTTCAACTTTCAACCAATATAATAAACTCCCCATGTTTAGCCATTAGTGTGTGTGTGTATATATATATATATATGTAAGTGTAGATATATGTAATTTATAAAGTATGATTGGAATATACCATCTTTATGTTTTAGTATTTGTTTATGAGTAACAAGAAGACATATGCTTTTGCCGGATTCCACCCCAACCAAACTATAAACTGCAGTATTCCATTTATTGATGAATTTACTCAATTAAGGGGAGCAAATTTGTCTTGATTAGAGTGCTTTAATTACAAATATTTGAATCAACGTCACTCTACTGCAGGTTCATGTATCATTAACCTTGAACCACTAAATTTAATAAAAATTACAGCTTCTTGAGCCGTGCACAGTAATATTATAGATGTATAAATATGCTTGTTTTTAACTTAATTACAGTTAGTTAATCCAAGCTCTTTAAACTCTTCTGATGGTGGTTGATCATAATTAAATTAAGAAAGGCTTACACATGGCCTTGATAGTATAATCTCAATTCAGGCCCATCTAGGAATATATATATATATATATATATCTTATGCCTACACCAAAACTTGAATAATCAACCTCCTCAAATGAAGAGGAGAGCTCATACCATCTCCGTTACTATCCATTGGTAATCTACCTGGGATTGGTAAAATGGATATCAGTATTCAGGACCCATCATCTGAAAATTTGAAAAAGGCCCTAGATTCAGCCAATCAGATCAGTTTTTTTTTTTTTTTTTTAAAAAAAAAAAAAAAAAAAAAACACTAACAAACTATGTACCTTGTCAGCAAACATACACACTCACTTTGCGTATGAAGACTTTAGTTTTTGACCTTTTACCATGTAGGGCGACAAAGTACCTCTAAACTGTAATATTCGGTGTAACATTAAAGTGATACAATAACAAAAATAACAATTAAGTTTTTTCACAATTTATGAGTTCTGCTACATGAATTTTATACTTATATATTATTATATTTAGATCATAACCTTAGTCAATTTACATACTATCATATCTTCCTTCAAGTCCACCCAACGTTAATTTTGACGAAGTTAAATGATGTTCTATTCAATCTAAAATAATTTGGATGTAATAGAATGATAGATAAGAGTTTTAATGCTAAGTAACAAATGTTGGAAGTTGTATGTTGTATTCTTGGTAGTGTGTTTCATGACGTCACCGATGGAGATAGTTAGGATATTCATATTTTTCATGATCTTCTAGATGAGAGGCCCAATCACATGCCAAAAGGTGATTGCATTGCCAAGCAATATATACCGTCTATTGTTTACTCTATCATCCTACTATGAGTTTTTTTTTATATTTCTTGGACCACTTATTGGTGCTATACATAAGTAATACATTGGAGTTTCCAAATAATTGACAATATTTTGACTGTTGAATTAATTTCTGCTACCTGCATACAACTTTGACTTAAAATTATTAATCAATTTGAATTTGATAATTTGAATTTTTTTTTTTTTTTTTCAAGCAATGATACGTCTTTCGAATTGGAAGATGTTGAATAAAAGTAATGTGATATGTGAGCAATGATACATCTTTCCAAAGAAGATGTTGAATGAGAGCAATAATGTGAGAGGAATGTGAGCCCCATTGCATGATATTCCGTATTACTATGATATTAGTGGTGGGACCTATACCCCTGAGGAATTATTACATAATCCGAAGCTATAGGATTCCGACAGATCATGTGCAGTCATATAAGCAAAAACCTACAAAAAAGTAACACAATTGCATACATGGCGGCATCTAATTGGCCGAAACCATATAATCCCAGACTAGAAATTCCCATAATTCCAAGGATGCATCTTTTTCTTTTTGTACAAGTCCATGTACTTGTGCAATGCCTGTTACTGATTTGGGCTGTGAATCTGGCTAGCTTGCCCTATATCTTCCTCTTTGGCCCAAAATTTATGGGCTGAGCTTAATTTGAGAATGGGCTCTGCTGAGTTTAGTTGAGCCAAGGTTTAGGTTGGAGTTTTGAGGTGTCAGACCAAAGCTTAATGAGGCCCAAAACTACAGTAACACTACTACTACTAGGGTGTTAGGTAGTCGGTTTACTGCTACCTCCAAGCATCCGGTCTAGAATTATTTTCTCTATTTTCTTGCCTTCGAAAGTTTAAGGTCGAAAGTCCAAGCCCACATGAGTGAGTTATTTGGTAAGATAAATATTTATTATTGTGATCACATGACATCCATTACAAATAATTCCAAATGGCCTAACTAATAATTTATCAGCTGTCATTTTGTTCTGAGCTTATAGCAAACCAATCAAGGTTGCGAAATCCATAATTACAATGAGGAACTTATGGCAAACAATGCAATCCAGAACAACCAAAGATACTGAATCGGTCTGCCATCCGAATTGGATGAACTGAAGTACTTCCCAGGTCCTGTTGCTGCTCCGGCCGCAGGGGCAACAGCAGCCGCCTCAGGTTTGTCACACTTTCCGTAAGTTGTATTTTCCTGCACATAATAATTAAATCGACAAAGATTAGTTTTCACATTATTCATTGCCTCCAACTATAGTAACCTCCTCTTGATTCTTTTTCAATAATTTTTTTTTTTTACATTTTCAGTGCTCGTCTCATGATTAGGTTTACAAGGCATCTTTTCTAGTTCCCTCTTCAGTTCTTTTGTTGGATTATCATTGTTTAATGTTTAATGCCTCGAATCTAAATTGGAGGGAAAAGGAAAAACATTGAATATGTTGGTGATTATTGCAAACCTTGCAGTAGGCAATGTTGTCGCAACCACAAATTAGATGACCATTTGCCACATCTACAGCTTCAGGAGCTCCACCTCCATCACTTCTCTGCAATTTCATTTGCAAATATAAATCATTTCTACTCAATGTTCAGCACTTCGGAATCTAGAATACTCTAGCTTGTAAATGATGTTTATAAATGGTCGATACCTTGTAAAAATCGACAGTAATGAAGTTAGGCCATCGTTTACCAGCCGCTTGATAACAAGTGTTGAGCATGCTAATTAGTGGAGCTGAATTATACTTGCAAGCTTGGGCTAAATCAGGGTTATCTGGAAAATAGTTCATTAGGATTAGTGATCGTGTTTTCGTGTTCATGGGTGATGATTCTCCACGGCTTGGACATGAACCGGCCACCATCCCTCCATTACCATCTGCAGTTAAGAATCCCCATCAAAATTGGGCAATTTACTTATGATACTTAGTTGACATTCATAAAAAGTATCTAATGAATCATGAGTTCAATACATCATGATATTTCTTGCTAATTATTAGACAATCACTTATTCACAAACCTCGTGTGGGGCTAGTAGTTTTCATTTCCCATCTCATGGAAAACCCTTTTCGCTCTGTTTAGCCTTATCCCCTCTAGGGGTATTTTAGTGATAGGTTCTATAGGAACTGGACGATCCTATTTGGTCAAATCCCTAGCAACAAACTCCTATGTTCCTTTCATTATGGTATTTCTGAACACTTTTTCTCACTATGTTACTCAATTTTAGAAGAAACAAACAGAAAAACTCACATTGGTTTTCTACCAAGTATTTCCACTCATGTGCAATCCCTTCTGCAGCCTCCTTAGAAGATTTTGAAGTGAAAACTACTAAACGCTGATTCTGCCGGACCATATCATCAACTGTTGGCCAATCTTGACCATTGTTTGGCATTCGAGAAACTGGAAACCAGAATTTCCTCAGTCCAGCAGCGTCAAACACTTTTGTTAGGCCCTTTGGAGATGTAACATAGTCTTCAATGAAAATGGTGATGATTTCTGAAGGGTTTGCTTCGAGAAACACTTGAATCTCTTTTAGAACATTAATGGCAGGTTGCTGGTGAATTAGTTATCAGACAGGTCAGTTATTAACAGAATACAAGCAGTGAACTACTAATACAGTTACCGAGAATCTGGGAAACAGAGCATAAGAAGTTCAATTTCAATTTCCAAAACACACTTGTTTCTGTACAATGGACTCAGTATTGGAAGTTTAGTTTGAAACTCAAAAATACAATAAAAAAATATAACAATGATACTGCTGGACTTATCAATAGGATAATTAAAAGAGAGAAATCTAAGTATCTAAAAACGTGAAATGACCTTAATAAACTCACATCTGGTTTAGAACAATGAAACACGAGAAAAGACTATGTAAATTTCACGTGAGTTCTAAAAACTCGTAGCATACTTACAAAAGATGTGTAATTGTAGCAGTTGCCACCAAAGGAGTGACATAACCAGATGTCGTTGTTGAAGTCATACATATCAAGCATCAGCCCTCTAACGCCATTCTGCACCAGAACCATTTCAAATAGATGGTCATTGAAACGTTGCAATCTTAAATTAACGCTTGAGATTAACCAATTTAAAAATGCATTACATAGCAGCCCATCTGTTCAATAGATTAACTGCAAATACAAAACGAGAAAATGGAAAACAGTCAAGCTTGTTCAATATTTTTATATGCTCAAACCAACACTGCAATAGAATGTACATTGTCCCGTAATGTCCATCCACATTAGTTATTAAAAATTCCTAGTCATGTGGTCACTGACATTAGCCACATCCAATATTTATAATAAATTCAAATAAAAAAAGAAAAAGAAAATGAAGATGGAAACTTTGTATAGGATTATAGTATCCCAAGTTAGGTCTTCCCCCACTTACTTTCCTTAGACAGACAAAGTGTATCTTACATTATGAATTAAGCATGTTGGACATACATTAGAAGCCAAGAGAACTTCCCCATAAATTAATAATCACATGTCAACAAAAGAAACGAAACCTAATATTTAAATGTATCATTCCTGAGGCCAAATTCTTCTCTCTCACAAAGGGACGTGAGGTTGATATCAGCATTCCACCACCAATTCAACTGCAATTTGTAGGGACTTCCCATTTTACTATATCAGAAGTTCATTATCCTTGTTTTTCCGATTAGAATTTGAGCTAGAAAGATAATCTAAAGTAGTCAAAAATATTAAAACAAATTTACTGCACTTTGTTCTAAAGAAGAAAATCAGATAATTTCATTCACATTCAGCTAATCATGGAAAAAAATGCTTTTGGGTTCCATCTTCGGGGTATAATTACCAGGGAAAAAGAATGCTTTTAGGTTTTACATTTTTCAATCAAATTTGCCATCTGCCAAGTGGCGTTTCTATTTTTTCCTACCATTAAATTGGTAGCTCTAGTAATTTAGACTAATTTAAGAAAGCAAAGAAGGGAAAAAGAAAATCAATGAGTAGGGCAACATAGTAGATGTCAAATTGATTGTATGAATTCACTCTCATTCAAGTAGCGAAAAAAGATTCAACACCAAAAACGCAGAGAGAATTAATCAAGAAACACTTTGATACCACTTCTTATGGTCATTCCCATTCATCAAATGGCATTTTAGTCTTTTTCGGCATTTTTTCAAAGATAATGTGTTGAAAATAGAATAAAACGCAAAGCGTTAAAAAAATAGATGCAAGTCAAAATCAACATTTAATATAAACAACAAAATGGAGAAAGGGGCAATTATTCCTCATCAATGTGAAAACAAACAATAGGACGAGTGACAAACACTCCTCACTGAACCACCTCGAAACCCTAACTTTGATGAGTAGTGAGACTTACATTGAGCTGATCGGTAACAGAGTCCTGCTGGTTCGACGGAGCTAAAATCACAGAGCCGGTGGCCGATCTATCCCCAAATCGAGCGAACGCATTGTGCGTCGTCAGCCATGAATACCTATTGAAAGGCAGTCCCTTCACCTAATCACACACAATACCAACCAAAATCACACACACACAGAGCAGAGCAAACACTTCCAATGTTCAAAACGGATAAAACAATAGATATAAATACATATGTGTGTGTTTGTGTGTGAAAATTGGGATTAATTTTGGGACCTTTGAAGTTGGAGTGACAGGTTGATTCCGAGTACATCGCGGCCGTACGTTCCCATTTGCGAGGCATGTTTCGCAGTGTAACCCTGTGTTGCAGTTTGCATCTGCGACGCATGTTTGTCCCTCCTGTTACACCACAAATAGGACTAATGTGATATACTGATATGGATCTGAAAACATTTTGATATGTGTATGTATATGTGTGTATATATGTGTGTATGATGAAATATATACCTTGAGAGCTGAAGAGAGACCTAAGAGGAACAGAGTTGCGATAAAGAAGAGGTTCTTCATCAGAGTGATTCCTTGCAAAGTAGAAATAAAATTACATGCAGGAGGAGTTTGATTTCTCTCTCTAGAACGCAATTTGCGAGTTTTTCTTCTCTCTCTAAAACTTATTAATTTGGTGGATCTCTGTCTCCGTCTGTGTTGGATTTGTTACTTGTTAGAGGAGGGAATGGATACGGGAAAGCTAAGGGACTCGGGTCTATATCAATTATGTAGGATTTATAGACATATAGAGAGAGATATAATCAATCATAGATATAGTGTATACGATATACTATATATATAGGATTATATACTACTACTTTTATCCCGCGCTAAACCTGCTTTAATCACTAATCATTTTTGTTTTGAAAAGTAAAGTCAATTTTATCCTTCTAATGCCTAAAATGTACCTCTATCCCAGAGTAGTTACCCCTTTAAAAAATTTTGACTCACAATTTTTGCGAGTCAAAATTACCAAAATAAACATTTAATATGGGATATATGTAGTATATAAATATATAAAAAGAATATGATGTCAAATGACTTAAAAATAAAATGTGACAGTGAATCAAAGTTTTCCAAATGGACAATTAATATGTAACGAATAACCGTTATCAAGTTGAACAACCATCTACAAGAGAGAAAACAACCATCTACAAGAGAGAAAACATAAAGAAACATTTCATGAGCAAAAGGGTAAAACATTTTATGAGCAAAAGGGTAAAACATTTTATGAGCAAAACGATAAAATAACATATTACTGTTATCAAGTTGGACGGTCGTCAGAGGTAAAAGGAATTACGAAACCGAGTTCATATACACACATGCATAGACATAGAGAGCAAAAGAAGTTGAGCAAAGAAAATGAGGGATAATGTGCTCAAGCGCAAGTCCCTAGTGTGCTCGAGTGCAATTCGTAGAGAATGCATCGTTCGGTTTTTTGGCCAATGCACTCGAGCGCATACTAGTATAGTTTGCGAATTGCGCTCGAGCACATGCCTGTAAAGGACTATGTAAGATATTGATAAACTCCATTGAGATAAGTGAAATTTATCTTAAAAAGAATTACACTTGCACGTCTATTTAAAAAGTGTAATTTTTTTTTTTTTTTTTTTTTTTTGGAAGTAAAATAATACATATGTATTTAGAATTATTGTTTAGGTCCAAATTGTCCTCCAATCTATTATTTTAAAATGTCGAATTATTATTCTTAAATCAAATAATTTATCCAGTAAAAAAATTCAGAAAATAATCAAACCAAAACTAATTGCAATTCAGAAGAACAAATGCATCTCCACAAAGAAAATTGGGGTTAAACCAGATGATACAAAGTTTGCTGGGCTACTGACAGCATCACCCACGCAGACCTTGTTGAATTCAGTATGAAGTTACTCAGAAGATACAATTTCACCAAAAGTTTATTATTCTTTTTTTTTTTTTTAAATTTTTTTGTCAACATGAAATAGAAAATTTTAATTAATTATATATATGCGTTTGTATTTGCATATGTAAATATCATTTGTCAGATGCAAAAATATTTAAGAACATTGGTATGTAGTCACTTTGTACTCGAATATAAGAAGTATTAGGACCAAAATATAGGTCCATTTTTATTCTTGTCTAGCATGCCAAATTAATAATATTTTTAGTGAAGGAATTATTTAATTTAAGAATATTATTTCAATATTTTGTACTCCGTAATAAGGATTTGGAAAGTACTAAAATTCAATCAAAGTGAAAAATAATCTTTTAAAACCCAAAACAAACCTCAGACAAAAACTATGGGGTGGGGGTGTTAGTTATTTACAAAGGGTATCATAGTACCCTGAAAAAAACTAGACAAGAAACTACATTTAAGTATATTTTTAATTTCTTTTTAGAACATATTCAAATACGTATATATTTAATTTCTTTCTAAAAAATACTTGGAATAGTTTCATTTGTTTTCCAAAAATGATATCATATGCAACCAGAGGTTTAACAGTTAAACTCGTTTGGATGGAAATTAGTAGTGGAAAGTAATAATAAAAGAAGTGGAGTAAATGAAAAGAAAATAAGATAGTATATTTGATTAGTATGAAGTTATTTCAAGAATATTATGAAGAATTGTCATTTATTTTATTTAAAATTTTTTTTTTTTCCTAATTGGTACTCACACACCTCATCTTAAAAATTATTTGCACACAAAAAATATAATCTTAAATCTGATACTTTATGAGACACCAAGACCAAGTAACTTAAAATTGTCGTAGTATGAATAACATAAACTTATCATAAAAGAAAAGACATTATTGCAAGTTCAAAAAACATTTTCAAGAAATCACAATCTTCTTATGTGTTTTTGTAAAAAAAAGAATCTCAAATTTTTTTCTTGTTGTGCTAATCAAACTTCTACAATGTTGGGAAATTATTTATTTATTTATTCTCAGTTTCTATTTAACAAGGCATAAAGGAAATAATTTGAGTAGATGAGAGAGGAAAAGAGAATAGATACAATGACACCATCTTGAACCCATATTAGTTGGGCTTGTGTAGTCCTCAACCTTATTTGTCAACTTGCTTTTTATAACTCTTCATCTTTTAGGTGACATTTTAATGTAAATGTCCTTTTTACGAAAAAAAGAAAAAAAAGACACCAAAAAATGACCACTCTCATAAAAGTCAACATAACTTTTCTTGAGAAAATTGTTGACATCTTAAATAAGTTATCAGTCTATATTTGTCCCACGCAAAATAAAAGGAAATGCTTGTAGATATATATAAATATTTGACTTTAAAATCACTCAAATTAGATGACATCATTCATACATGTTGCTTAGTTTTCATTTTTATTTTTTTCATGATTAAAATATTAGATTAGAAGTTAGTGGGTGCAAAATCTCAAAATCGAAACAATGAAAAACAATTCAATCGGTGAGTTATAAAGACGTTCGAATTAGTTGAACTTGTTTACTATTTACTATTGCATAAAGAAATGATAAAAATTAATATTAAAAATCTTGAATTTATCACTTGCCAATGAATATGACAACGATTTGAATGATAACATGAACTTAGACAAAGCTGAATGAAAAATTAAAATTTGTATAGTCGTTAGATTGTTGGGAAAAAATAAAAAAAACTTTTTTGAACTTGAGTTGCTAAGAAATATAATAAAATTTTATTTCTTTTGTAGTTATAAAGAAGAGAAATACTTATGTTTATTGTTTTTATAAAAAGATGAATGGTTCAAATTTAATGTATGTGTGTGTATATTATATATATATTTTATTGTATGGTTTACCTATTCTTTATACTATCCAAAAGTAATTTAATGCTTCAAATTTAAGGGATATCCATAGTTTCCTCTTACGACGTTCAATTATAATTTAATTTTCTTCATTTCTAAAATTTATCAAAAATGCCTTTGATCTATATATTATTTTGACTCAAATTGTTCTATAATTCCAATTAAAAAATATTAGAAAATTTGGAACTCCAAACCCCCCAACAAGGTAAACTCAGTTTTTTTTTCTTTCCAATTATATAACTTAATAGTTTAAAATCAGAGAGAGAGATTCTGACTGAAATTCTTTTGAACCCAAGTTCAATTTTATTTATTTATATATATATATTTTTGGAAGAAAAAAAGGTCGCATATATCATCCCAACCTGTTAGAATATCCTAGAGTTATATTTTATAGCATGAGATTCGTGCAATGAAATTGAAACTATCTTCAATTCCAATTTTAAAGTATTGGTCAACGTAAAAATATTTTTGAACTCTAAACTTGAAATATAATATTGTGCATAGTTTTATAGTTCTTCCATCTCTAAATTTCAAGCCACTATACTAATTTTTTATTCCAAAAATTAAAAAATTGAAGGAGATTTAGATTTCCAAGTTTACAATTCATTTAAGAAAAAACTAAAATTTTCACCTATTTAAATTACAAATTTCATTTTTGCATTTTTGTAATTTATCTCAAGATCGGACAGCTCAAGGGATTTACCTTCTGAACTTGCACACCTTTCACCGTTACACTCAGCACTCACCACACTATAATCATTCCTAATTGATTTTCATACTGAATTGTCTAATATAAAGAAAACAAAAATACTATATGCGAAAGAGTAGATCATCATTCAGTTGCCTCTCAATCCATAATTTTTCTCATTTAATAAAAAAATGCTCATTGAAAAACCAAACTCCCAATCATGTCTGTCTTAGAATTTATTGGTAACAAATAACCTCTTCACTTATTTATAGACACCGTGTTTGCCCTTAGAATTTTCTTCGTAAATGTCCTAAATAATTACACCATGCAAAACTCTCTGGTATTTTAAAATCTTCTATTCACTACAATTACTACAAATTCAATCCAATATTTAGAATCATCCATTCTTTTGAAAAGTTATAAAACTCCACTCTTCTCATGTCATATAAACTGTTAGGTTTGTGAGTGTGTAGTTGTGTTGTATTTCTCTTAGCAAGCACCCGATGGAGAGATTTTTTTCCAAATAATTTCTAATAAAAGAAAAGAAACCATTACTGCTATTTTATTCTACTTACAAGTCACAAGCAGTTTAATTCATACTTTTGACACTAACAAATTAGGTACAATTGTACACACACAACATTCTCATGCTTCACCATCAAAGTTTTCGAGTTAATAACATTTCTAACAATTTTTTTTTGAAAAGAATAACATAGCATTTTTAACCTTACTTTTAAAAGTCTCAAATCTCAATTTATATGGCCAAAAAGGATCACTGGGCCATCGAAATTCGTTGGATTTATTAAATTATTTAATCAAACTTCTCAAAATTTACATTTTCAGTCCAAATTTCTCAACAAACTCAATTAAATGTAACAACTGGTCAAAATTACACAAGTTTTACTATTATAATTCAAGTACGGATCACATTTGTCCTCCCAAATTAGGGCATGCACGGCCAACCATTCTTGCAAGTTACATTAACAAAAGCAATGAGATTCGAATCTTAATAGGATTAGGATGTATTCAAATCAGCTGTTATGGACTTTGTGCGTGGAATCAATTTAAGCTTGACTTGAACTGGCAAGATCAAAAACAAAATTCAAGCTTGATTTGAATTGTTCAAGCTGAGTAGGTTGCATGAAACAACTTAATTCATGAGCTCATGTAACATATTCTGACTTTTTATATAAAATTCAATTTCTTTTTTTTTGATGAATATATATATATAATTTCAAAATGAGCCTACATGAACAAATCTACAAGAAAGTAGAATATCCAGGAGTATTTATATATGGTATCAATCATCCAAAATGAGAATTTTTATAACTGTTCATCGGTAAGGGGTACCACGTGTAAGTACCCCCGAGTATTGTATATTTTCTCTAAGTTTACAAGGTTGAGAAAGATTTCCCCTACTCCGGTGATACCATGTCACTGGTATTATCAACCAATTAGTTCTTGTCAAATAAAAAAAAAAAATGCATTTATTTAATGAGCCCTATCCATGTTTGGTACGCATTTTGTTTTTAACTTTTTGGTTTAACTTAAAATAAAACAAGTGTTTTGAATAGTAATCGAAAGCATGTTTGATAACATACATTTGTTGCAAGATTTTTTAGAAGCAAAAATATGAAAAAATGTATGGTATAAAAGTGTTGCAAGTTTGAATAATATAATGATTAGTTTTAAAAAATCTTTGTAAGTCTTTCAAAAAAAAAAATTGGTGTTTCGATTTTTGGCCCTATTCACGGAACGTTTTAACACTGTCTAAAACAAAACAGTTTTTACCAAACGTCTTTTTTTCACTATTCATTGCTACCGAGAAAAACAAAATCATCAAAAATGAAATGCATTCCAAACAGACCCTTAGTGATACCATGTGATCCAAAATAACAAAAGCATTAAAGTATTTCTGGACCATCCTCTTTTTCTTTTTCTTCTTTTTTGACCTAAAGAGGATGGAACTCTGTAGCAAGTGAACACAATAGGTGGGAGGTCCCGCTTACTTATATTTTGCTTTTACATATATAATAAATAAATAAATAAATAAAAAACGTTCTCTTCAATTTTTGGGCTTTAAAAGTATTTTCCATTGGCATATTTCGAATCAGAAAAACTATTTCATTACAGGGACCATCTTATCCTTAAAATGCAATGGCCGTCTTTTAGATTTCAGCTCCAGAAATTCAATCTACTGTTACAAATATGTACTATAAATAATCAGCATTGCTTAGTCCACTGTCACAACAATATAAACTACAGCAGAGTGGGCTTGTGACTAAAAACAAATAACAAAAGTAAGATGTCACCATACCCTATTTTAACCAAGTCTCCACATTTTAATTGACTCTCCCTTTAAGCCGTGGTAGGTGATTATCAGTTGATGTATAAAACTCAAATGGGGTACATGCTTTATGGTCATAAAATTCAGACATAATTGTGATCAATCAATCAGGACTCAGTACCAAATCTATGTGCAGTTTTAGGCACAATAAATTTTTCAACTTCAAAATTTTGTACAAACATTTCACACCATTGAACACTGATATTCAAACAGAGCAATGGTACTGCAATTGGGGAAGTTCCTGATGGCAATAGAGTCATTAACCAACTAAAGAAGGCCTACTCTTTCACCTTAAAACATCATCTTTTATGAATTTACCTAGCATGTGAATCCACAATAGTAATGTAAAACATCAATGACAAGCCTTTGATTATGCAGGTTTTCATAAACATGATTTTAAGCCTAAAATATAACACGATGGTTATGCGTTTGGATGAAAGAAATGTTGCTTTCTTCCTGACATTTTTTGAATTCTTTCTGCTTTGGTTTGGTTAAGACTGTGCAGCGAGAATTATATTTTACGAAACTTCGCTTTATAATCAAATTAATCAGTTTCCAACCCATGGAACTCACATTTCAGATTAAAATCCAATATTCCAAAATCCTTCAGGAGTCAAAGGAGGTGCATACCTATACCGATGCCTTGAAACACCATCATGATGCTCACACCGTGAGTTCTGCTTACTACCATCAGTGTCCTTTCCTCCATCGTTGTGAAGAACAGCATCGTAGAATTTCTTACAGTCCTTGCATTCAATTCCTTTTAAACTTTGCCTTTCAGCTTTCTTTCTTACTGGCTCCACATATTTAAAAGCTCTTGTTCCGGGCTTTGGAACTGGCATTTGCTGCTTTTGTGGACCGGGATCTAAATTTATATACTGTGTTTCATCGTCGGAGCTGTTAGAATGCATGTCATTTGGAACTGGGCCTAGAAGATCATGAGATTCCTCCTTTGCAGCCTTCTTTAAGTTCCCTCTAATGTTCTCTAAGGGAGTATCGAGAAAATCATCATGGGGGTCAGCCCCACCTCGATTCTGGAGAGACCTGGTATCTCTCCAATAAGAAATGGGACGCTTAGAGCCAGCTAAGGGGCCAGATCTTCCATTAGTGGGGCTTAATCTGACTCCTTTGTGATCCTCCATGTCATCTTGGTCAATCTTCTGTTTGGTCATCTCACAAGCAATTATGGAATCATCAAGAATTTTATTCTCAGTATCTATGACAACATAAAAGAAGTTTGGTCAGCATTTAGGATAATTACAACTGTAACAACTATGATGCAGTGAATCTTGGGTGGTCTTGTTTGAGACTGTACACGTGTGCATGTGTAGAAGTATGCCCCGTTTGTATTGGATAAAGGCAAGGATGATTATGATAATGACGACGACGTGCATGTGTAGAAGTATCTGAGTTCAATCCCATCATACATTAAACATTGCATTTAACAAAATGAGGGTATCGCAAAAAGCAGCAAGGCTTACCAGGTGAAGTTAATGGATTCTGATTGTGCCTTGATAAATCACTTTCATCTTCCATTCTGTTTTCTGGGAGCATATTCTCCGTAGTAAGACCAATTTTTTTGCACACAAAGGTGTATTGAGATTTCAGATTTTTATAAGCAGCAATTACATCCCTTTTTTTCTTCTTCTCAGACATCAACTCGGAGTCCTTCATTCCAATCTGTTGGAGTAATTTTCCATGCAATACCATTCCATCAGTTGCCTCACTGCTCCTCTCTCCGAGCTCCACTTGAAGATTATCAATTCTCTCCTCTAAACCTTTTAGTTTGGCCAGAAGTAACATTTTTTCCTTACCAAGCTCTTCCAACTGCTGTCCAGTCCTCAACATTTCTGAAGGATTTAGATCTATCTCTCGGAGTAGCTCTCCTTGCAATTTTCTTCCCTCCTCCACCTCTTCAATTTTCTTCAGGAGTGCATTTTGGAGCCCATCAGTATTCACCGAGCATTCCAGTTTGGGTGTAAGTAGTTTTTTCTTGTTTTCACAATCACTCAAGAGCTGTTCATAATTCACCATCTTTGAGGCTTGTGATTGAATTTTTTTTAGCAATTTATCTTTCAATTTCCTTCCCTCCTCCACCTCGTCAATTTTCTTCAGGAGTGCCCTTTGGAGCCCATCAGTATTCCCCGCGCTTTCCAGTTTGGCTGTAAGTAGTTTTTTCTTGTTTTCACAATCACTCAAAAGCTGTTCATAATTCACCATCTTTGAGGCTTGCAATTCAGTTTTTTTAAGCAAACTATCTTTCAACTCCTTTACCTTGTTTAATTCTTCGGTCTTTTCTCTGAGATCTCCTTGGAACCTATCAATTCTTTCCTCTAGATTACTAAATTTGACAAGAAGCTCAGTTGCCTGTTCCTCATAACGTTTTAATTGTTTTTCTTTATGCACTATCAAAGAGGCCTTTGATTGAACCAACTGGAGTAACTTATTCTGCAATTCCATTCCCCCATCAACTTCCTCAGACTTCTTCATGAGCTCACACCGCAGTTCCTCAGCTTCAAGCTGTAGACTTCTTTCTTTCTTCACAAGCATGTCATATTTCTGTTCAAGCTTTTTCAGCATCTTTTCCTTATCGCATATCACAATGTCTTTTGATCAAGAAGTCTGAGTATACTATGTTGCAATTCCCTTCCCTCACCTACTTCTTTAGTCATCTGTTTTAGCTCCTCTTGGAGTTTATTAACACTATTAGGTGACTGGCCTTCAAAATTCACAAACTTTGCCTTCTCCTCCTTGAGAGACTGATTTTCATCCAGAGCTTGCTGCTTTTCAAGCTGAAGCTTTTCTATTTGGAGTAAGAGTTCTTTTTCCTTCTCTTTCCATACATCTTCTGCAGCTTTCTTGGCCTCGGAGTAAATTTTCTGCAGGCTTCCAGAATTTGATTGGAAGTTCGGGAAAAGTTGGCTGCAGAAAATATATTCTATCTGAGAAATCCTGTCTCTTGCTTCTTGAATTGTGGCAACAAGTATAGTACTAAGCCCAGAGACATACTTCGCATCACCACAGTCAATGGGATCCCCTGGCGGCGGAGACCTCTGCAGATCCCCTTCCATCTCTGGAATTTATTGGAGGACAACAAACATGTGAGAGTTACTAATGCATCATCATAGTCACATCAAACAATCTTCTTCTCTGAATACTGGATAATATTCAACTAAGAAGTCATTACATAACCTTGAAATAAAAACCATTTCCACTATAGAGATAGAAAGAGAAAGGGAGGGGGAAATCAATAGATTTGTGCAGACTATATGTGAAGAAATTATGGGTAAATCTGCCACTTGAAATCATCCGAGTATATTAAGTTTGTATGTACATGTCTTCGCAATTTTGGATAAGAGAATTTTCTTTTTCTCAGAGAATCTTGACAAAGTGACTTTTTACTAACTAAAGTCACTAAATTTCAGTTGGTAAAATTCAACTTAATTCACAGTATGTATTTCAAAATTGAATATAAATTCTGCAAGGAGAATAAAAGTCCTTAACAATCATCCTATTGAATCTTTCCCCTAACTCTATATTTTCAATCTAACCATATTAGGTATTTCGGCATTTGGAAACTCAATCCAATTATTAAAATTAGAAAGATATTTCCAGAACCAGATTTCAGGCCTTCTTCATGGGTTAACCACTACTCGTTGGTGTATCAGCTTTAGATTTAGCTACTTGGGTCATTCTGACAAAAAGTAAATGTTAGCCTCTGTGGTAGATATTGTAGGAAGATTTTATGGTATATATATGTGGGTGTGTGTGTGTGGGAGTAGAAAAGATAAAATACTTTTAAAACATAGAAGCAACATAAACAGAACAATTCGAAATATGTACTGACCATAAGAGTCTGAAGCAACTCTTTTTCTCCAAAGAGAATTAAAAATGCAACCAACGGAGGTTGATGGAACTTTTGAACAATTATAATTGTGTAATCCTTCATCATCCAGGTTAAACCAATGCTGGGATAAATGCCCAAAGTAAAAATTCATACTTGATATTTGGCATATTTGATTATTAAAGGGTTGCAGCTACTAGAAACACCAGGTGAGTGACACTTAGAGATCGGGCACCTGTGTAATGGTCACTAACTTAAAAAGTACAACCAACTCTCATCGAGAATATCAATGAAGCACAATGAAATGACCATCAGTTAGTGACTATAGTGGATAACAAAGCCATGTACTTTGAAAGAACCTTGAAATTCAAGTTGGTGACCATGTATTTTGTGGGTATCTCCTTCTAAAGGAATAACGAGATTTTGGGAAGAAATGTTTAAATCTAGGTTTATTGGGTCTCTTGAGATTTTGGAAAGGATTGGAGAAGTAATGTATACAGCAGCATTGCCTCCTAAGCCAAGCATTCATAAGGAGCAACCTATTGAACTTCTGGATTGAAAGGAGCAAGTCTTACAAACCAGGGTGATATAAATGCTGAAAGTAATATGTTAGTGCCACTCCCTGAAGAAACCACTTGGGCAAGTGATGAAGAAATCAAGGTTAAATATTCACCTCTCTGTAAATTGTGAGGTACATAAATTTAATGACTCTTTTAAAAGGGTTGGAAATGAAGGGGCTTGCCCAAGATTTATTTATTTATTGGTAAGTAAAACCTCTTATATTTAACCACCATTTGAAAAACGCCAAATTTAAGAGTTTCTGCTTAAATTTTGTGTTTTAGTAACCAAAGAAGATAACAATTTTTTTTAGCTCTTAAGATTAAAAAATACTCGTATCATTTAGAAATTGCAACTTTGGCCCAACAGCCTCAACTGCAAAAAACCAGGCTTTTATGCTTCACCTGAGAGTAGAAGTTTTATTCCTTTGGATTGTCATAACATTCCTTTGAAGGGTTTGCTTGGAGAGTGTTCCTTACAAAATAACATTTAGCTTCAATTTTACAATACTTTTTAATGAGTTCAAATGGTAGAACTATTGTATATTTACCTGTAATAGAAGAATTAAAAAGGGAATAAATGAAAATGAAGACAAATGAGGACATTATACATGTAAATAAGTATCATCTCTTGACCAGAGCATAATTACCTTAAATTGTAAACTCTGAGGGTCAAAGTAGCTAGGTTAACTTCCAAGGTTGATTAGGAACCAACTTAGGAGACTACAAATTGGGGGCAAAGCTCACTTGCCTAAGATCTGTAATGTTTCTAATTTTTGCCATTTTCCATTTTTTGGAATTTTCTGATTTTTCGAGGGTATTTTCGTCTTTTCTCGTTTTGCGTGCCGGACACCGTGGGGTGTGCCGGGTGTGTCTGAGAGTTGGTTGGGGCATTCCATTGAGTTCAGAACTTTTGGAAATGCACTGGTTGCCATTCTGACATTTTTCCATTTTTCGGGCAAGATGGTTTTAGGTGGGACCTGCTACCAGAATTGTTGTGTACGGAGGGTTGTGCCTCGGGTCCATTGGATTCATGCATAATTATTTTGTGCATACTTACATTTTGTGACTTAAAAATTTTTGGTTGGAAATTGAATTATATATATTTATATATATATAGAAAAAGGTGAGATATTTTCTCTAGTGGGACCCACCATATCAACCCTCTTAATGGCCTTAAAGCCATTTCAAACTTCCATTCTCTCTCTCTCTCAAGAAATCTCTCTCCCTTAGGACCCTCACTTTTTTTTTTTTTTTTTTTTCACAAATTCAAGGCTTGATCTAGCCTAGCCCTTTGAGAATTTCATAGTGCCACTTAAGGCAAAGTTAGAGAGCTTGTTGAGCACTTCATTTTGATCAGAGCAAATCGCCATTTGGCCAACCTTGGAATTTCGAAAATTAGGGCTTGAATTGGGGCTTTTGCTTCAAAACAAGGTAGAGTTGTCTAACTTGCATAGTCCTTAAATTTTGTTGTTGAATCCATATTTTTCCCCAATTTTTACATGCCAATTTGATGTCAATTTGGTAGTAGCATGCTAGGGTTTTATTAAATTGATGATATATGTCAATTTGTTTGTTGTTATGTGTTAAATGATGATTATGTGATGAGAAATTTCAATTGTTGAATGGACTATGTGGTTAATTGTGAGCAAGCATGCTACTTGATATTAAATTGACATTTTAGTGTTCTTGAAATGCCAAGTATGCCATGTGTTTGTAAAATTGCCAATGTGAATGTTTAATTGTAAAATTCATACTATTGTGGTTTTAGTGATCATATGTTGACTTGTAGAATAATTGTATCATTGTCAAAGCCATGTATGTTCATAATTTGATGATTGTGTAACAATTCATGTGGAGGTAAAATTACTGCTGTAAGTGGGCAATGATGACTATTGAAGTTGTGGATAATTGTGAGCATGGCATTAACATTGTTGCATTGGCATTGAGCATTGGGTGTGTTGTGAAGGAAATTTTGGTGAAGTGAATTGGAAAAAGTTTGAAGAAAGTTTTTGAAGAAAAGTTTTCTAAAACCCGGTTTTAGGGAGGTACCCCCCTATCGGCGGTGCTAGCTAGCAAATAGGGACATGGGAAGTACCCGTGAGTAATTTAGCTACCTCGGGCCCCAAATGGTAGTTGGGAGTCACCCTTTGCCAGGGACGACTAGCAAATTCTCCCTAGGGACGACGGGGGTACCAAAGTCTCGCTAGTTAGTACATTTTCAGTGTGTGGATTGGGTGTGTGAGAGTGTGTGGAATGCATTGCATAGGCCATGTCATGTATTGCATTATTTCAAAAGGTTGTTAGTGGATTGCCTGTAAAGATTTAATGACGTGTGATCCCGGCATGATCCCTACTCTCCTACTCTATTCATTGACGTGTCTAAGCATGCGTTTCGTCTACTTAATTTTAAGAGATGCCCTTTAGGCAATCTCTACTGGGCTTTGTGCTCATTCTTCTACATTTTTTAGGACATGGAAAGGAAGTAGCGGACGACAATCCACCACAAGCTTAGTCGGGATAAAAGGGGCATGGACTTCTTTTGTGCTTGATGTGTATATATATATCACCCTTTTGTTGTAAATTATATTAAGTGGCATTGTGTATCTATTCAATGGGTAGAAATGATTTTGAGACCTCGGCACCATCTTTTGGGGTCTCATTAGGATTTCTATCTTCTTTTGGGTTTATAGCTTTTCAACGATGTAATTTGAAGTCATTTTGTTTATGAACATTGTAATCGGACATGTATGATGAATGTATGATGAAATCAAAGTTTCCAAGCGTCGCCATGTTGTAGAATTCCTTGAATTAGCTTGCTAAATTGTTTATTTTACCATTCATGTATGTTGGGGTTGAGAGGATCAAATGTACAGCTTAGAAATGAATTTGCAGTAGCCAATTTCAGACCTCCCAAGTGGAGAGCCGGCTCTCCCCCTTTGTGAGTCGACTCTTTTTGGTCCAGTAGCCAAATTTCATCAAAAACGTGGAGTGCAGCCTGCTCCTTTGGGAGCATGCTCTTTTGGTGTGAGTGGAGCCTGCTCCTTTTGAGTGGAGCCGGCTCCTTTCGCAGAAAGGAGGCGGCTCCATCAAAATAGGAGCCGGCTCCCTTGCTGCTTGTCTTCTTCTTCTTCCTCTTCCTTTTTTTAGACTTTGGATGGCTATAACTTTCTCGTTTTAAATCCAAATGGGTTCATTCTTGAGTCAAATTTCAAGTATTTTCAGTTAGCTTTCCAATGAAATTAATTTCACTAAAAAAATTCAAATCTTAGAGAGAGTTATGACCTTTTTAGTGTGGACCGCTCTGGAATTCTTTGAAAACAAAAGGGACAATTATGTAAAATGTTCATTCTTATGTCCGGGTCTTTGTGTCATGAGTTCAAATGATCCTTATGACTTATGTCGACCTATTTAGACTCATTTAGAATTATATAATTAATTTACACACCCTAGTTGGTTCAGGTAAGGACCAAATTAGCGATTCGGACCCACAGGTTCGGGTCGTTACAAGATCATTCAGTTTGTTTATCTTTTGAGTTTTGACATGGAGAAGGGGAGAGAGAGAGAGAGAGAGAGGTATGATTATATCATATTAAGGAATTATTAATGAAGGAAGTGCATAAGAATTATCTAAATATTAAGAACCAATATAACTAAGCTCACCATTCTGAGCAAATTGATCAACATTGGGTCTCAGTATAATACTGGCATAAATCCATTTCATCCCATAAAAAGATCAATAAAGCTTTTTGAGGGACTTCCTGAGAGGACAGAAACCAAGTACCTTATTTCATTGATAAAATTTTGGACAGTTCCCTTTTTTCATATTTTTCAAAACAAGAACTACAGCTGTTTGGATACACTCAAATCTTAAAGGTGAACAATTGTCAATGAGGTTCTCTACTTCCCTGTTTGTTGTAAGGTAAAATCATAGGATTTTCCTAGAAAACTATGGAAAGATAATAAAATTGTCCCCCTAAAAAAGCACGTCAGCAGTCTGAATACATGGAGTTGGTGATGAACTTGTATAACCAAATAGGCAAAATAGTTTCGATTAGTTAAACACTCATAAACATTTGAACATTCAAATAACTCGTGTGATCGAACAAGGCAAAATAATTCCGACAATGTTTCGGACTGAGATCTTGCTATACGATTTCGCTATACGATTTCGCTTTATTATTGGCCAGAATTATGTTATTTTCTTTTTAAAGGGAAAAAAAATCTCACAATTTATTTTAATTCTTACACTTTTCCTCCACATGTGCTACTTAGTTGGACATTTTCATTCTTCTCTTTCAAATTTTATAATGGCTTGATTTGATTAGATTAAACCACTTTTACATTTAAAAGACGGTCGACTACATCCTGTATGGAAGAAGGGAGAAAATGGGGGTAGATATAGAAAATAAGAGTTTGCAGAGAGAGAGAAAGGGAAGGAGTTCAAAAACAATGACAGATGAGCATAGGCATGGGTGAAGAAGTAATGAAGGGGCCTTCTCAGTCACTACCATCTTGCAGGGGTGAGAAGCAACCACTTCTTACCCCTGCCAGCCGTCACACTACCACTAGTGTTCACCATTGCACCACCAGTATCATCAAACCCAAACTGCAAATTTGCAATATCTCCAGTCAGCACCACCACTTATCTCAGCAGCTCCAAAGACACAGTCTTTCTCCAGCTCCACCTTTTCCATCTACCATATAAAAAAAACTCCGTCTACATGGTCTCTAAAGCATAGACCACGATCGCCACAAAACAAGTCCATCATCTATCTCAAACAACTTTACACCCAGTCATCACTCCCTCTAAAAAGCTCAGACAACCACCCCATAAAAATCACTGCAACCAATTAAGCATCGGAACTGTTTCACACTCACCTCACTAAATCACAGGGCTATTTAACGAAGAAATTTTAGAAAATCAAAAGCCACAACAGATTAAGGAATACATAGCCACTCACTATTGTTCAGCTCAAGAATCAAAGAATGGAGAAACAGAATCACATGTGATATAAGAGATAAGATAGATGAGAGATTGTAATATTAAAAAGAAAGAAAGAAAAAGTGAAAACAAAGTGTGACAGAGCAGCTTATGCAGCAAAAGAAAAAGTATCAGGTTCAAAATTAATCTTAGGAGGTGCGTTTTAAGCCGATAAAAGGTAAATAAACAAATTGAAGCTGGTGAGAGGAAATCATCAAATTAGAGCATCCAGGTACATGATCTAGAAAGAGAATTTTCAATTTTAAAAGTGACAAGTAGGAGTAATTAGATTTCTGTCCCAAAGTTAATCAAAGACATTTGATAATTTTTCCTAAGCTTCACGATAAAATACACAGTTTCAGCTGATATAAATGGATAGTCGATTTTCCATTTTCCCTCAAAACAAACATTTCCAAGGTAAAAATAAACAATGAACATAGATATTCAAATTCAAAACTCGATATAACAAAAAAAAAAAAAAAAAACACAGAACATCTAACAAACTATATCAGCAACCAAAACATAAAAGCAGAAAATCAATCATAATTTCGTTATCTTTCACCTGAAAAATTGATAGATGAGTAAATACTAACCTCAATCACAAAGATGACGAATGAAGACCTTGACAGGTAATAAAGATCGTGAATTTGATTCTCTGCAAAGTAGCAAATGCATAGTTAGGGTTTAAAGCAGAAGAAGACGAAGAGAGAGAAAATACTCGGCAGAGATATATTGACATGCTTGTTAACCGTTTGATTGTAGAGAGAGAAACTCTCTCGAAAATTTTGCTGGATCTCTGCGTTGAATTTGCTCCGAGGCAAATGAGAGAATGAACTTCTATGTTACACTTGCTTTATCGCGCGCTTTCGGCACCCTTTTTTAGTGATGGTTTTGTTTAAAAACATTTGGCGTCTCTTGGAAGGAAAGACGGGAGAGAAAGGAAAGGAAATGAAAGGAATGAGGACAAAAAAAAAAAAAAAAAAAAAAAAAAGAAAAAAAGAAAAAAGAAGAAGATAAGTACTGGTATTAATAGAATAAAAAAAAGAAAAAAAATCGATTGGAGGATTAGGAAGAAGGAAAATCATTTCTAATGAAATCTTCTATCGTAAAGGAGAAAGCTTTTATTTTATTTTATTTATTAATTTTTTTTAGAATCAAAAGAAATCTTTTATTTCATATAGTAGAAAGATAAAAGGGTAACTAGATAGTAAAACATAAATATTATTAAAACACTATTATACTATTTTAGGTAAAAAAAAACACGCTTTGTACTCTTAATAGTTTTGCTAATGTTAGAATATTCTTTGATTTGACTCCTATTAAATAATATTCAAACAAATTTGTTCATTAATTACTAGAGTAATCTAGCTAATGTAAGAATATTTTACAATTTAACTCGTGTTAAGTATTAATGTTCAGATAAATTTGTTTCCAAATTAATAAAATCAAGACTAATTAACTAATTATCTTTCACTGCCTTAGAGACAATTTTTGATTGCGTTATATATATATATATACACTGTATGTGTGGTAAAAAATAATCTAAAAATCTAATCTTAATATACATGTAATGAGAATCTAAAAATAATCTGACCAACAATGTGGTAATTAGCATTGAAATACTGTTCCCCCATTGTAAATACAATTTTCTTCCACGATTTCTTCATTTACTTTTAACATTGGTAAAATTGCAATAAAACAAAAAAAAAAAAAAAACTGAACTATTTACGAGTTGCAAAATAGCCTTGAACTACAGAAAATAAATGTTATTTGAATTTTTTTTTTTGATAAATTACCTTCATCTTTCTTACCCAAAAAAAAAATAAATAATAGAAGTAAATTACACTGATCTCATTCCTTGAGGCTCGTCACATTACAAGAACAATGGAGCATTGAATCGAGTGTTTTTATGAAATGGGTTTTTGTTAAAAGAGACTCTAACACAGATTCGAATACCTTACCAGCCTTGATTGGAATTGGGTTTGCTTTGCTTGGTGGTTTTTGGTCTCAAAGGTGAGGATTTCAGAATGCCATTTCTGTTGGTGAACTCTCTCTCTCCTGGTGCTTTTATGGTTTTAAAAGGGCATTATTTATTTATTTATTTTTACTCTTTTAATTTGCATTTTTAACAATGAATATTTGCCAGCAATCTACTGAGACTCGATGTTGATCAATTTATGTGGAATTTTGATTCTTAGCTTTTGTGGAGATAAATAATAATTCTTTCATTTGAACTCATTAAAAAAAAATTGTGATTTTTTTTTTTTTTTTTTTAATCCCAAATGACTAATTTACTGATTGAATTTCATATCTGGTTCCGTAAATATCTGTCTAATTTAATTAATTGAATTGAATTTCATTTGCAAATGCCAAAATACCTATTATGGTTAGATTAAAAAAATAGATTTAATCTAAGATAAAGTTGCTGCATTGTGACCTAGTGGTTACGGGTCGAAAATATAGAAATAGCTTCTCTATTAGAAGATAAGGCTGTGTACGAACCCTCCCTAGATCTCGCAATGACGAACCCTCGTGCATTGCATTTTTCCTTATATTCAATAACAAATTTATTCTCCTTGCAGAATTTATAATTCGATTTTGAAGTGTATACTTTGAATTAAGTTGAAAATTACCAACCGAAATTTAATTACTTCGGTTTAGCAAAAAGTCACTTTGTCAAGATTCTGTTAGAAAAGGAAAAAACCTCTGTTCCAAAGTTGCGAAGACATGTACAGACATGCAAACTTAATATACTTGGATGAGTTCAGGAAGCAGATTTACCCATAATTTCTTCACATATAGTTTCCGCAATTCTATTGATTTTGTCCCCCTCTTTTTTGTATCTCTATAGTGGAAAAATGTATTTATTTCAAGGTTATAAACTTATGTATTCTTCGTTGAAAATCATCAAGTATGCTAAGTAGAGGATTGTTTGACGCAACTATGATGATGCATTAGTAACTCTCACATGTTTGATGTCTTCTAATAAATTCCAGAGATGGTGATGCAAAGTATGTTTCTGGGCTTAGTACTATACTCGTTGCCACAATTCAAGAAATCTGGAAGCCTGCAGAAAATTTACTCGGAGGCCAAGAAAACTGCAGAAGGGATGTATGGAAAGAGAAGGAAGAAGAACTCTTACTCCAAATAGGAAAGCTTCAGCTTGAAAAGCAGCAAGCTCTCAAAGAAAATCAGCCTCTCAAGGAGGAGTAGGCGAAGTATTTTGAAGGTCAGCTAATAGTGTTAATAAACTCCAAGAGGAGCTAAAACAGATGACTAAAGAAGTAGATGAGGGAAGGGAATTACAACTTAGTATACTCGGACTTCTTGAATCGAAAGACACAGTGATCTGTGAGAAGGAAAATATGCTGAAAGAGCGTGAACAGAAATATGACATGCTTGTGAAGAAAGAAAGAAGTCTACAGCTTGAAGCTGAGGAACTGCGGTGTGAGCTCATGAAGAAGTCTAAGGAAAGAATTGATGAGCAATACATCAGAAACGGTACAAGAAGCCACTGGATTATCGGACAAGGTGAGAGATGACGTGGTTTTGCAAGAGGAAGTTCCTGGCTGCTGTTGGTGGCTAGAAGAATTGTCCGGCTGCCCTATTTTGAGATTTTTTAAATGTCTTTATCTTAATTAGGATCTTATAGCTGAGGTATGCTTGTCACTGACCTGTCCATTTTATCATTTTCCCCCCAAGTTTTAGAAAGATATAATGGGAAAATGTAGTACATGTATGTTCTTTTGTGTCTGACATAGGTTTGAAGGCCAATCCCAAAAGTTCCATGTAAGACTCATGCATGAGTCACTGTAACTTATCATCTTCAAGACTGAAAATAAAGATCCATATGTAAATTAACTTAATAACTTGTATGTCAACTATATATTTTATTATAAACCAGGCATTTTTCTTGTAATATTCTCCTTTTGACTGATCTGTATTGTAGCATGTTCAATGAAACAGATGATAACTTTGCTTTTACATCCACTTGAATGGAAGCTGAAGAACTCAGTTAGCTTCAGTATCATGAACTAAAGGCTGGTAATTTTACTTTTTTCAGGATTCCAAACCTGAAACCTGGCTGCTCGATCATGGTTGGCCCTGAATTTCCTCAGCTGTTTGGTTATTGTAATTTATCATCACATCATCTCTCCACTTAGTTTTGGTGGTAAGGGCATTCTTCCTTGATCTATGTGATTTTCTTGGTGTGGTTTTTCTTAAATATGATGTTTCTAAGCATTACTGTTAAAAATACATATGGACCATAATGAAATTGCAGAAATCACACCTTATATTATTGCGCTGTAGGAGAACAACTGTGCCCTTCGATGTAAGGAATGATAAGATTGGTTCTTACAGTTTTTTATTTTGGCAATTCAAAATAGATTTGCTCTTACTGTTGACAATGACTTAACTATATTGAACTCTATTCTCTGGCTGCTAAATCATTCTATTCTGGTACAACTCACGCTAGGAGGTATTACAAGAAACTAGCGACCATAACTATGGTATCTCCTGTTGGCCTTCACTACTGCTTCGTTCTGGCTCACTGAGTTGGTTTTATCGACTACAGTTTAGTTTATTCAACTTGGAAAATGTCCCCATGACAATAATTTATTTATTTTATTAATATATATATATTTTTTTAAGGTAGGTGTCCCATTAAAAGCAATTGTCATTGTTATGATATCTTGTGACATGCATACACTCACTCACTGTTGTGGTTTTATGGAGTCTGATTAGGTGGAAGAGTTTTAGGAAGATTTAATTATATGGAAACTTTAAGAGTAATGAATTTTAGGAAAAATTCAGTTTCCTAATCTGATTTGACTTCCTTATTGGTTTAAGGAAAATTCAGTTTCTTGATCTAATTTAATTTCCTTATTGGTTTTGGATTCTACAAAAGACAAGTTCTTGTAAGACAAGTTTGGGACTCTACAAATAGGGGGGTGAAAATTAGAGATAAATTGGTGTCAATACAAGATAGAGCAATTAAGAGAGATTGAGAGAGAATTCTCCTTGTAATTCTTCATCTTTTTCATAGTGATTTTGTTCGGTGTGCTCCATAGACGTAGCCCCAAGATTTGGGTGAACCATGTATATCTTGTGTTCTTGTGTGTGATTTTTTTATTCTTCGTGATTGCTTATTTATTCATTGAACAGTGTTGTTTATTTTGCGTTTCCGCCACAACAACTGGTATCAAATCCGGTTGATTGTGTAGTGCAACTCTAAGAACTGGTATCAGAGTCTTTGGTTGAGAACCTAGGGCACAGAAGGTGTTTGACGAAATTCTGACAGTTTTTCGATCAGATCTGTCCGTTCGAGTGGGAGTAATGGCATTAGAAGATAAGACATCCACATCCATGATCGAGAAGTTCGATGGCACAAACTTCGGTTTCTGGAAGATGCAAATAGAAGACCTCTTGTTTTAGAAAAATCTGTATCAACCTTTGGGAGAGAAGCCAGAGGATACAAAGGATGCAGATTGGGAATTACTTGATAGGAAGGCTCTTGGCATCGTCAGATTGACGTTGTCAAAGTCAGTCGTCTTCAATAAGAACGAGAAGACGACGATGTCTCTTATAGCAGCCCTTTCTAGTATGTATGAACAGCCTTCTACAGCGAACAAGGTGCACTTGATCAAGAAGTTGTTCAACATGAAGATGGTCGGTGGTAAGTTCAACGAACATTTAAATGCGTTCAACGAGATAGTTGGGTAATTAGAGTCTGTTGATATCGACTTCAAAGACGAGGTCTGAGCACTGCTAATTCTAGGGCAGTTACCCGAGAGTTGGAGTGGCATAGTTACAGCGATCAGTAGCTCTGCAGGGAAGACCAAGTTGAAGTTTGATGAAGTTGTGAGCATGATTTTGACTGAAGAAATCAGAAGGCAAACAGCAGGGGTTTCCACCAGTGGTTCGGCGTTGAATGTTGAAAGCAGAGGCGAGGGTTCAAACAAGAAGAAGGGCAACAATAATAAAAATAGAGGCAGATCCAAGTCAAGGAATGGAAGGACACAGTCTCAAAATTTCAGGAATTCCAC